TCACCTCCCAGAATTCCACACCTAGCCAAGGCTGGAGACCCCTAGTTTGGAATACACTGTGAAGCCAACTATAGAGTGTGACTTTGCTAATCCATGAATGCATTTTTGTTTAGCATAAGGTGTGAACAAAGCCTCCTGCCTCTCAGACCACTTCTTGGGAGAAAGGATCCGGCTGTCAGACCTGCCACAACTTAAGCCTCTAAACAGAAATGATCCTTGGCCCCATTTGTTGAGAAAGGTATAGTTGAGAAAAGTCTATGGAGAGATCAGGTGTATTACTACCACATTTGGTGGACATGTGGCAAAGCTAAGGTTTATTGGAAAAAGATACATACGTGGTTAGAAAAAATATTAGGTGAACATGTTGATTTTAAAGCTGAAGTTTTTTTACTAGGTATAATGCCTGAAAAGACTAATAACCAGAGTTTATATTTAATTTTACACATCACTACAACAGCGAGAATAATCTTCGCACAATACTGGAAGAATGAAGGATTGCCACCAGAAGAAGAAATAATCAGAAAAATATTGGAATGTGCAGAGATGGACAGATTAACTATGAGACTGAAAGATAAAGAAGACACAGACTACTACCAAATTTGGGATTTATTTTATTGTTGGTTAGAGGAAAGAATGAAGGATTAGGAATCGAATATGTATTAGCATAGCTAACCCCAGACAACTCGTTGATTGGAAAAATTAACACATGGTATGCAAAAGAAAACCAATAAAATCTTTATATATATAAAAAAGAGAGACCAGGCGTATTGTAGTATTGCAAAGCCAGAACTGAGAATCATGTGCCAAAGTCCCTGCGTTCTACTTTTCCCTCCCTTAACTATCTCCCAGTGTCCACCCCAGTTTAACCAATCAGGTTCAGGCGAGATGATTTTGTAACGGTCAGTCCAAGCGCAGTTTGGTATGTGGCTCTCTCCTCCTTCTAGCTGGGTGACCTTGAGGCAGCTTCTCAAAGAGATACAGCACTTACTTTCGTTTTCCCCCAAGTCTTCCCCCTTTCATTCCCCCCTCCCCAAAGTTCTAAGCCAGTGGTGGCGAACCTATGGCACGTGTGCCAGAGGCGGCACTCAGAGCCCTCTCTGTTGGCACGTGCGCCACTGCCACCAGCAGCAGGTCTATCAGGCTGCCACCGCCGCCTGAAGCAGGACCCCGCCCAGCACAAAGGAGGCGAAGCGGACGACTAGCAAGCTCGAGTAGAGGTGGTAAAGCAGAGGTCACCAACCATTCTCGATTGGTGGACTGGAAGAAAAGGGAGGGGGAAGCATTTTACATGCATGCTCGTGGACACGAGTCCACGAGCACGCACGCACTGCAAATAGAGCAGGGCTAGTGCCTGCATATGATACTAGCCCTGTTCCGTTCTTGCGTGGTGCAGCACCTTGTCTCTGCACCCCACGGTGCAGTGGCAGCCGTTTTTGCGCCTTGCAGCATGGTAGTCCATTTTTGCGCCCCTGGGTTTTGCATGCCAGAGGCGGCACTCAGAGGTGCCTCTCTGCCCCCCCCCCCGAGGGCACCACAATGCTGATGCGGCCCTGGCACTTTGCGATAAATCAGTGGGTTTTGGGTTGCGGTTTCGGCACTCGGTCTCTACAAGGTTCGCCATCACTGTTCTAAGCAGTCTGTCGTTGCATAGCAGCAAGCACAAGCAAGCATAAGGGGTCAGCTAAAATACCAGCTTTTCAAAAGGAGTTTTGGAAAAAAACCTAGTGTAAGGACCCACCTCAATTTACATCTTAAGAAGACAGAACTCTTAGAATGTCTCTTCCAACAGGGATCTTTATTAAGAGAAGCTGATTGTAGGCATGCTAGACAGGATCTGGGGAATCCTCTCCCACCATTCAATGTTTTAAAGTGTTCCCAAGCAGCCCCCACTCCACAGTTCTTCTGGGTGATTCAATCTGTCAGTCCGCTCTGTCTGCACAATCACTCATTCTCTCTTTTCCCAGATCCCAGGCGTTGCATTTCCCACCCTTTTTTCCTCACTGCAGGCAAAGGGGAGAACTTCAGAGAGCATGAAATGAAAGGCGATGGCCACATTGTTATGGTTAGTTCTCTCGAAGAGAATCCACAAACGGTCACTTTGTAGTTAATGAAGGAAGTGAGAGTCATAAACCACCCCCCCAATGCTTACCCTCCTCCCCTTTCGTAGTATGACAGAATCCAAAGAGAGTAAGAATTGGTTTTTCATCAGAGTAGGTAGATAGAAATGAAATATAATTGGATTCTGACACCTAGCCTCTTCTTTTTCCCTGATATCTGCAAAACAAATCTGACCTGCAGAGCTTAGCACAAAGAGNAGTGAGAGTCATAAACCACCCCCCCAATGCTTACCCTCCTCCCCTTTCGTAGTATGACAGAATCCAAAGAGAGTAAGAATTGGTTTTTCATCAGAGTAGGTAGATAGAAATGAAATATAATTGGATTCTGACACCTAGCCTCTTCTTTTTCCCTGATATCTGCAAAACAAATCTGACCTGCAGAGCTTAGCACAAAGAGGTTGGAAGTGAGTCATGACCGATTTTATCAGCTTTTTTTGCCACAGCTGTTCAGAGAATCAGAGCAGTCGTTAAGTGGATCACGCAGTCTTTAAGCACATCCAGCTTTCCCCCCCATTGACTTTGCTTCCTGGAAGCTGGCTGGGAAGGTCGCAAATGGCAATTACGTGACCCAGGATGCTGCAACCATTGCAAATACATGCTGGATGCCAAGCAATCAAATTTTGATCATGTGACCAGGGGATGCTGCGTTGGTTGTAAGTGTGAGGACTGGTTGTAGGTCATATTTTTCAGGTGCCGTTGTATCTTTGCACGGTCACTAAACGCATAGTTGTAAGTTGAGGACTACCTGTACAGATCAGTTGCCAAGTGTCTGAATTTTGATCGCATGACCATAGGGACGGTCGTAAGGGTGAAAAATGGTCATAAGTCACTTTTTTAAAACTTTAAATCTGGCATTTTTTAAATTGGAACCCGGAATTCGTGCACCGCAGGATGATATGTATTCGTCTACATTCATAGCTCTATAACATCCCGGCATTTCAGGTCTTAGGGCGACCCCCTTCGGCGATCTTTCGTCCCGGAAGTGTGGCAGCTCTCGGGGCCGTTCCAGCCACCAACCTCTCTATCACCGCTCCGCCTCTTCGTCGGCCATGAAGTCCGTTTTCGTTACCGTCGGCACCACCAGCTTCGACGACCTCATTGCGGCCGTGACGAGCCCCGAAGCGACCCAGGCAAGTTTTCCGAGGCCGCCCTTCCCGCTTCCCCGATACCGTCTTTGAACGCTCGCGCCCCGCCTCAGAGCAAACAGCCGGGCGACGAAAGGTCGGAAGAAGTGAAGTTGCGCTTCTTGCGTCACTTCCTGTGCCTTTTCTAGGCACTGGCCTGCCTTGTCTCTATGGTCCCTCTGCATGCCAACCTGGGATTTTCTACCCCTTTGAAAGTTTTCTTGCGTGGGAAAATCCTGGTGGGGAAGGAGGGGAGCCGTGCAGTTCTCCTCCGAGTCCTCTCTGTGCAGTAATTGGAAGGAAGCCGCCTGAATTGGCCAAAGAAATAAAGTAAATTCAGAAGGCAGATTGAAGGGGACCCTCTTAAAAAGGGAATCCCGGTGCATGCATGCGCAAAAGCGAGCCCAGTGTGTGCAAGGTCAGAAGGGAGCCCCAATGCAGACGTGCATGGCCAAATTGAATCCCAGTATGGAATGAATGAATGAATGAATATCTATCTATCTATCTATCTATCTATCTATCTATCTATCTATCTATCTATCTATCTATCTATCTATCTATCTATCTATCTATTCTACCCGTCTATCTATCTATCTATCTATCTATCTATCTATCTATCTATCTATCTATCTATCTACCTACCTACCTACCTACCTACCTACCTACCTACCTACCCATCCATCCATCCATCCATCCATCCATCTAATCTACCCCTCTATCTAATCTACCCGTCTATCTATCTAATCTACCTACCTACCTACCTACCTAATCTATCTATCTATCTATCTATCTATCTATCTATCTATCTATCTATCTATCTATCTATCTATCTATCTATCATCTAATCTACCCGTCTATCTATCTATCTTATCTTATCTTATCTTATCTACCTACCTACCTACCTACCTACCTACCTATCCATCCATCCATCCATCCATCNAGTGAGAGTCATAAACCACCCCCCCAATGCTTACCCTCCTCCCCTTTCGTAGTATGACAGAATCCAAAGAGAGTAAGAATTGGTTTTTCATCAGAGTAGGTAGATAGAAATGAAATATAATTGGATTCTGACACCTAGCCTCTTCTTTTTCCCTGATATCTGCAAAACAAATCTGACCTGCAGAGCTTAGCACAAAGAGAAGTTGGAAGTGAGTCATGACCGATTTTATCAGCTTTTTTGCCACAGCTGTTAAGAGAATCACAGCAGTCATTAAGTGGATCATGCAGTCTTTAAGCACATCCAGCTTTCCCCCCCCATTGACTTTGCTTCCTGGAAGCTGGCTGGGAAGGTCGCAAATGGCAATTACGTGACCCAGGATGCTGCAACCATTGCAAATACATGCTGGATGCCAAGCAATCAAATTTTGATCATGTGACCAGGGGATGCTGCGTTGGTTGTAAGTGTGAGGACTGGCTGTAGGTCATAGTTTTCAGGTGCCGTTGTATCTTTGCACGGTCACTAAACGCATAGTTGTAAGTTGAGGACTACCTGTACAGATCAGTTGCCAAGTGTCTGAATTTTGATCGCGTGACCATAGGGACGGTCGTAAGGGTGAAAAATGGTCATAAGTCACTTTTTTAAAACTTTAAATCTGGCATTTTTTAAATTGGAACCCGGAATTCGTGCACCGCAGGGTGATATGTATTCGTCTACATTCATAGCTCTATAACATCCCGGCATTTCAGGTCTTAGGGCGACCCCCTTCGGCGATCTTTCGTCCCGGAAGTGTGGCAGCTCTCGGGGCCGTTCCAGCCACCAACCTCTCTATCACCGCTCCGCCTCTTCGTCGGCCATGAAGTCCGTTTTCGTTACCGTCGGCACCACCAGCTTCGACGACCTCATTGCGGCCGTGACGAGCCCCGAAGCGACCCAGGCAAGTTTTCCGAGGCTGCCCTTCCCGCTTCCCCGATACCGTCTTTGAACGCTCGCGCCCCGCCTCAGAGCAAACAGCCGGGCGACGAAAGGTCGGAAGAAGTGAGGTTGCGCTTCTTGCGTCACTTCCTGTGCCTTTTCTAGGCACTGGCCTGCCTTGTCTCTATGGTCCCTCTGCATGCCAACCTGGGATTTTCTGCCCCTTTGAAAGTTTTCTTGTGTGGGAAAATCCTGGTGGGGAAGGAGGGGAGCCGTGCAGTTCTCCTCCGAGTCCTCTCTGTGCAGTAATTGGAAGGAAGCCGCCTGAATTGGCCAAAGAAATAAAGTAAATTCAGAAGGCAGATTGAAGGGGACCCTCTTAAAAAGGGAATCCCGGTGCATGCATGCGCAAAAGCGAGCCCAGTGTCTGCACGGTCAGAAGGGAGCCCCAATGCAGACGTGCACGGCCAAATTGAATCCCAGTATGGAATGAATGAATATCTATCTATCTATCTATCTATCTATCTATCTATCTATCTATCTATCTATCTATCTATCTATCTATCTATCTATTCTACCCGTCTATCTATCTATCTATCTACCTACCTACCTATCCATCCATCCATCCATCCATCCATCTAATCTACCCGTCTATCTAATCTACCCGTCTATCTATCTAATCTACCTACCTACCTACCTACCTACCTACCTACCTATCTATCTATCTATCTATCTATCTATCTATCTATCTATCTATCTATCTATCTATCTATCTATCATCTAATCTACCCGTCTATCTATCTATCTATCTTATCTTATCTTATCTTATCTTATCTATCTATCTATCTATCTATCTATCTATCTATCTATCTATCTATCTATCTAATCTATCTAATCTATCTATCTATCTATCTATCTATCTATCTATCTTTCTATCTATCTATCTATCTATCTATCTATCACTTTTCCCATCTCCAAAAGTGGAATTGGAAGACTGCTGTTATGTCTCCCCTAGTCCTTCTTTTCTTCATGAAGCCACCTGGGTGAGATTGGGCCAGTCCCTCTTTCTCAGCTCTGGGAAGGTGACACTGGCAAACCACTGTTGGGAAACCTTGCCAAGAAACCTGCAGGGACTCATCCAGGCAGTCTCCAGGAGACAACACTGCTTCAAAGTCACAAAAAAACCCCACCCCAAACCAATATTGCCTTAGTAATCCTTTTTCTCTCACAATAGGATACAGGAGCACAGTGGTCAATAATATGTCATGCACATTTTCTCACCTTGGAGAGTGAAATAAATTCACCTTTGCAGCTTCTAACAAGTTTGTATTTGTAACCTCAGGGAGAATACATGTTTCTTTCTGACAGCAGGTTTTACAGGATCTCGGCTATCGCAAGCTCGTCCTTCAAATTGGCCGGGGCAAGGAATGTCCAGATCCATTTAGTACAGCCGCACTTACTCTGGAAGTGTTCAGATTCAAGAGCTCACTTTCTGAAGATATGAAAAAAGCAGATCTGGTCATAAGCCACGCAGGTAAAGCATTTCAGTACAAACATCCAGTCTCTTTTGGCCACGCTTTGCTCACCCCATCGAAAAGATCCAAGAACAACATAGGAAGATAATTTATCTGTATATGTGGAAAAGTGGATCATTTATTTACGTCCTTTATTTATGTAGAGTACTGCCCCCTGGTAACAAATGGGAAGGTGGGTTTTAAAAGAGAAATGTCTTATTTCAAGGAACAACATGACCTATAGAAATTCTTATTGTATTTATGGTTATTGATTAGCTATAAGCAGTCATGAATATGTCTGCAACCTAATATAGCCTAAACAATTTCTAAAAATGTTAGAAAGGAGTCCATTTCTTCTGTAGCCTTAGCTAAGCAAGTTATAGTCCAAGATATGGATTTGTACATTTTTTTTATGCAAGACCAACTGCTGGTATATATAGATAGAACCTATGTCAAAGTTATGTGCATTTATTTATTTATTTTTATTAGTTTTATTCATTTATAACATAAAATGTGAAAATACAAAAGCAAATAGTAGGGGACAACAGTAGAAAAACAAAAAACAAAAAAGGTGTGAAGAAGGGGTGGGGAAGAAACAAAAGGCACCTGAAGGCAGGACAAGAAGCAATGGATGGAAACTAAGCAAGGAGAGAAGCAACCTAGAACCAAGGAGAAACTTCCTGACAGTTAGAACAATTAACCAGTGGAACAACCTGCTTCCAGAAGTGGTGAATGCTCCAACACTGGAAGTTTTTAAGAGGAGACTGGACAGCCATTTGTCCGAAATGGTATAGGGTTTCCTGCCTGAGCAGGGGGTTGGACTAGATGACCTTCCAACTTTTTTTTTTAATTATTATTATTATTATTATTATTATTATTATTATTATTATTATTATTATTATTATTATTATTATTATTATTATTATTATTACTATTATTACAAAAACCTATCCATCTGCGCTTATAAGATGCCTGGAAGTCAGTTGTCCAGGAATGGGCCCTGTAATATATTAGTAGTTTTCCTTAAAAGAATGCAACCATTTTAGAATCCCTGATCCACTTGTCATTATTAACTGGCATGTTCCAAAACATGGCTGGGACTAAAACAAAGAAGTAAGCAGAACCAGAATAAAACCAAAGCATAATTGGACTTAATTTAATACTGTAAATAAGATCATCCCATGACTATTGATTTATTTTATCTTTCTGTGACATTAAATGCAACAGTTAGAAAGCAAAAGGGTTCCCTTATTTTTTGGATTTACTGAATGATTGAAGAAAGGAAAGGAAGAAAGGATAACAAGAAAGAAAGAAAAAGAAAGAAAGAAGAGGGAGGGAAGGAGGGAGGAAGGGAAAGGAAGGACTGAAGAGAAAGAAAGAAAGAAAAAGAAAGAAAGAAAGAAAGAAAGAATATCCACAGCCCAAGACTTTTAGAGGTAGATGGGGTACCTAGCTCAAACACCTCTGACTTTTATTCTACAATTTCTCTTCCGCTCATGAAAGAATGCAATCTGGCCATGGGCAAGGGAGGCCTTGTAATTTAATCCAAAGAAGTTTGGTTCCTATCAACCCATTTTTGATGGATAGGCGCTGCTATGTCAAGTAGGATGATCCGGTTCTGGTTCTTCTGCCACAGGAGCAGGCAGCTGTTTGGAAGTTTTGGAAGCTGGGATACCTCTCCTGGTTGTGATCAATGACCAGCTTATGCACAACCATCAGTTGGAACTGGCCAGGCAGCTGCACAAAGATGGACATCTCTTTTACTGCACATGCAAGTATGGGTTTTCATAACCTCCTTAGTTGCCGTTGAGATGTTCTTGGTTCTTTAGTCAACAAATGAAGGAGCACGGCAGTTAGTTGCTTTTGGGGTTTTCCATTTCACAGTTGTCAAGGGTGGTGCTTCAGTTATCTTAAGATCTGAACTAAGCAAAGCAGATACGTCTTTTTTTGTGCTGTTGCCATGGGGTAATACCTTAATTTTATTTTTTATTTCCTTTAGATATTTTATCCACACGTTATTATTTTAACAGATAACTCAAGATGATGAATATAACTCATGTTCCTTCCTCCTCCTATTTCATGCTTTCTGGGATCAGATTTGAACCAGAGATCCTGTGAAACATCTCCTAAACCAGTAATATAATAAATTTCCTTATCCTGAACCCACACTATTATGAAGAACCAGAGCAGTACATGAACTCTTAATCCTCACTCTAGTCAGGATATAAATATTCTATTGTTTAGTAATGAAAGCTTGTGAGGATGTGTATTTCCTAATCAAACCAGTAAAGTGAGGCTCTTTGACATTTTCTCGTTCCTTTGGTTCAGTTTGGGGGAAGAAACAATTTTCAGCTTTGTCTAGACTCTAGATCTGGCAGCCAGCATTGCTGAACTGTAAGTGCTCAGTTTAGATTTGCCAACTTCTTGCAAATCCTTTGCCTTTTAGCTGGGAGCTGTCCATGGTGTCCACAGGGACCATTCTCTGGACCAGGTGTCTTCAAACCTGACCCTTTTATGACTTGTGGACTTCAACTTCCAGAATTCCTCAGCCAGGCATGCTGGCTGAGGAATTCTGGGAGTTGAAGTCCACAAGTCATAAAAGGGCCAAGTTTGAAGACCCCTGCTCTGGACTTTCTTTATAAGTCTGCCCTGTTGTGGGCATACAGCACAACTCCTGGTTCATTTGGAATGGACGTTCTTCTGCCTGCTGATCAATCTCACAGAGGATTTCATGAAGATCTTGTCTTCTTCTGCTTCCTGAACTGCTAGAAGGAAATGGCTGGAAAGTTTCAAAGATATCCAGATAATTTCTTCCAACCTAACAGCCAATTTGTTTTTAAAGCGATGCCAAACCCTCTATGCCATGGTATAAAGGCTGAAGCTGCCAAAGCTGAAAATAGAATAGAGTAGAGTAGAGTAGAGTAGAATATAGAATAGAATATAGGATAGAATAGAATATAGGATAGAATAGAATAGAATAGAATAGAATAGAATAGAATAGAATAGAATAGAATAGAATAGAATAGCCTTGGTTACAATAACCTTGTTTCTCATGCTAGGTTTAGTGTTGTTATGTCTAGTTGGACTCTCGTTCATATCCCCCCTCCCAGCATCATCTAACTCTAAAAGCAAAAGGTAAAAGATGGCTACATTTCCATCTGTTGTCAATGCAAAACATCCGATGTTGGCAGCGTTGACACTGGGTTTGTATAACAAGCTAGGCTAAAATGAGGCCGGATAATTTGTGCTTCAATATGTTGGGATAGCCCAGTCATGGCCTCGGTGTGTTATTTGATCTAGGCTGTCACGTTAGACCGGCATATGACTTTTTCATTTATGTGAACACATTGTGTTTTGGACCCTTGAGTTTTTGAATATAACGGATGATGTCTTAACTGTATTTGGTGCGCTATTTTAAAACCTTGTGGAGAATATAAACAGTAGGCATTGCTTTAAAATAATTCTAAAATGCATAAGGAACAGTCTTAGTATACTAGACTCTTGTTTATGAATGGAAAATTTTGATGAGTCAGATATCTGCATGTGGAGACATGGTGTAAAGTACTATTTCTGTGGAAGCTGATGAGGCAGGAACCAAGGACTGTTAGGCCAGACAAAATTGTTATATAAACATGGAACAGGAATGTCTGGCTTTCAGGATGGCGAGAAGGAAGCCAAAAGCACAATGTCTTGAAAAACAAGGAGAAAAGGCCTGGAAATCGAATGGTAGTGTGTAATTCATGAAGAGATTGATTCCTGGCTTTTTTTGTATATGCTGTGTGACTTCTTTCTTTTCTACAATAAATCAGCTTATGTTTTCACAGTTGAAAACTTTTGCTATGTGGGGCTGAGTTCCTGAAGACCTGAGATTTCTTTCTATCGCTGGTGTGAAAGAAAGTTTCAAATTCAGTGACCACATAGTCCAAGACTATAGGAAAACCAAGATACATATGTGAGAAGTATTTTGTGATGATTTTGATAGGTTATGATGAATTTTCTCTTTTTTCATAGGACCCTTGTGGAGACGCTCAAATCAATGGACTTGTCTACTCTGAAGCCATTCCTTCCTGGACAGCCAGAAAAATTTGCTACATTCTTGGACGACGTGATTGGCAGTTAACTACGTGGGTTATAACAAAGAGATGCCAGAACTGAAACTGGCCTAAGACCTATGCAAGTAAACAACAGTATTTGTTACCTCCAATGAAATTAAGAATTAAGGCATTCAGTAGGGCCAGTTTTGTGTGAAACCAGCTGACGTTTTTGTACGGCATTTTGTAAACCTAAAACGGAGATGAGAATATACCTTGTCTGGCATGTAAGGCAAAGAGGCCCTTGGCTTGACTCACACAGTGGACAAAGTGCAAAACCAATCTGTGTTATGATATTTATCTTGTGTAAACTCAGTCTCATTCAATAAAACATGATTAAGCAAGATGATTTCCCACAGTAGATGAACCAAACACATGATCTATGACTTAAGCAATCACGGCTCGTTCAGCAAACCATAATGATCAATGTAATAACGTTTCCTTTATAAATTCATCAAATTAATATGAATAGCCAAGAGGCTCCCATGCTATTTAAACATCTAAATCCTGTCATCATTCTGCATAAAAAAACACAAATGCTGTGCAATCTGTAAACCCTTCTTCTCTTGATAAATGTGTTTGTAATTCTTTGGTCTGTCACATTTTCACAATTTGATTTGGGTCTTTTTTTCTTGGGGACCATTAGCCCCATCCCACTCTCTGGTTGGACCTAAATACATAAGAATCTCCGAGCCAATCATTTTGCTTGGTCAGTCGGCTGGTCATATTTGAAATTAAGTTTGCTCCCTGTCAAAGATGGAGAACCTCTTTTAGTTGCCTGTACTTAAAGATCAGGAGGGCCCCATGGTGGGACAACCAGCAGTAGAATCACTCAATTCCCCAATGCCTTGTTTTGTGTTTTTTCCTCCATTTTTTCTAGCCATTCCTTCTTCCTTACACTTCTGGGACTCTAACAGGTAATTATGGTTAGGGTAAATCTTTTAACTCAACTTACCCTAAGTTCAAATCTTAGACTGCATGCTGCCTGCAAATAATAACAATAATAATAATAATAAGAGGAGGAGGAGGAGAAAGAAGAAGAAGAAGAAGAAGAAGAAGAAGAAGAAGAAGAAGAAGAAGAAGAAGAAGAAGAAGAGCAGCAGCAGCAGCAGCAGCAGCAGCAGCAGCAGCAGCAGCAGCAGCAGCAGCAGCAGCAGCAGCAGCAGCAGCAGCAGCAGCAGCAGCAGCAGCAGCAGCAGCAGCAGCAGCAGCAGCAGCAGCAGCAGCAGCAGCAGCAGCAGCAGCAGCAGCAGCAGCAGCAGCAGCAGCAGCAGCAGCAGCAGCAGCNATAATAATAATAATAATAATAATAATAAAAAGTTGGAAGGGACCTTGGAGGTCATCTAGTCCAACCCCCTTGCTCAGGCAGGAAACCCTATACCATTTCAGATAAATGGCTGTCCAGTCTCTTCTTAAAAACTTCCAGTGTTGGAGCATTCACAGCTTCTGGAGGCAGGTTGTTCCACTGGTTAATTGTTCTAACTGTCAGGAACAGTTGTATTTGTTCAAATACAAGAGAAAAATTTCATAAGCTCAGCATGGCAGTGGAACATTCTACTTATGGATGTTGTGGGTTGTCCATCTCTGAAGGCTTTGGTTGAGTAGTCATCCCTTGGGGGATGATTTAATTGTTTCTCCTGCCCACTGCTGAGGGTTACACTAGAACAGATGGTCCCTTCCAACTCTATGATTCTATACCTACTTCTAATAATAATTGCATATTGAGATATGGTCTACAAGTGAACTTCAAGGATGAAGCAAAGAGGAAATACGTTCACAAATGGAGCACTAATTAATCACTGATTTGACTGTCTTTTTTTTAAAGACTTCACACAGTCAAAGGTTCCATTTCCCAACATGAATCAACTGCTCTATTCTTTTTTCTTGAAGTTCTAGTTTCCATAACACCACTTAAAAAGCTTTAGTTTAAGCCAGGTGTAGGCAACCTTGGCTCTTTTATGACTCGTGGACTTCAACTCCCAGAATGGTTTAAGCCTGGTTTAAGCCATGAAGATTTACTTTCCAGGATTTTTTTTGCCGTCACATTTAATCTTCACTAGGACCTTCGGTGATGTGTCAAATGGTTGGGTTTAGATGTTGGACTGAGTTATGCAATGTTTTGGGCTTGGTTTATTGCATTGAATTAACCCACCATTCTATTTTGTAATGTATGCTTTTCAGATTAAATAGAGCTAACACAGGTGAGCTGCAAAAAGGTGGATAATTACAGCTGAGCTGCCAAAAATTCATGCTCTTTTTAACTCTTTTCTACCATCTGGCCTGATTTTGCAGCCAAAATATGGTAAATTGTGGCAGATGTGTGCATCCAGCTGTTGTCCTTGCAAAACATGATTTATGCCTTAGTGTAGGGGTGGGCAACTTAATAACCTGTAGACTTCAACTCCCACAATTCCTGAGGCAGCCATGTTGTTAAGCAAATCACTTGTTGTTAAGTGAATCATATAGGCTTCCCCCATTGACTTTGGTGTCAGAAGCCAGCTGGTAAGATCACAAAATGGCAATCACACGATCCCTTTCATGCTGCCAACTGTTACAAATCCATGCCAGTTGCCTGAATTTGGACCACATGACGGTTGAGATGTCGTGACCGTTGTAAGTGCAAGAAGGACCAGTCATAAATCACTTTTTTGCAGTGCTGTTGTAACTTTGAACGGTCACTAAATTAATGGTTGTAAGTCAAGGACCACCTCTCTCTGATTTTTAACTCTTAGGAATGGCCAGGGGGGGCCTAACCCTTCTCATTTCTTTGGCCTAAGATCAAGCACGAGTCCCTGGCCAATTATGGGAACCCAGGTCCAAGTCGCTGGAGGACATCAAGTAGAGAAAGCAACAGGTGACAACTCAGCATGTTGTCAAACAGCTGTCTGCAGATTAGGATAAACCACGGTTAGCAAGCTGAACTGGCTGAACCCTGACGGTCTATGAAAATATTACAACCCCTTTTACTTTAATTTAGCACACACTGCCTAAAAAACCAAGCCCACGGGTTATTTTACAGGTCCCCGTTTTGCATGTAATCGCCAATCCACGGAGAGATCTCGTAACCGTCTAAGCAATTATCCAGTTAAATTACAGGTAATCGCATGGTGGGAACCCAGCCGCTTAACAGTGTTTCTCAACCGTGACAATTTTAAGGCAATGCTGGCTGTGGGATTCTGGGAGTTGAAGTCCACATGCCTTAAAATTGTCAAGGCTGAGAAACACTGCGCTAGGTCAACGTGTCTATGAGCAACACCTGGAGCTTTCATTAACCCACCTGATCCCCCCCCCCCCAATAAGCAAAGCTAATTCGCTAACTAATCATAGAACACAGAATCCTAAGGCTGGAGAGGACCTCAGAGGTCTTCTAGTCCAGCCCCCTGGCTCAAGACAGGAGACCTTATGTATACCATCCCGGTCAAGGTCTCCAGTCTTGACCAGTTTTGACCAGTCAAACAGACTGGACCAGAGAGACCCCCCCACACACACACTTCCCTACAGTCAGGGCCACGAGGGGCTTCCTTCGCCCTCCGGACCCCCGCCCGCCCCCCTCCGGCCAGCCACGAGCCCCGGATCTCAGCCACCCCAGACGCGCCTGGTGGAAAAGTTAAGGCGGGCTGCCGCCACGTGCCGCTTTCCCACGTGAGCCGGGCGCGCGCTTGGCCCGGGCCAGATTGCCGACAGCTGAGACGACTCCCCCCCCCCACCACACACACACACACACACACACACACACACACTCCGGCCGCCGCCCCGCCCTGCCCCGCCCTGTCTTCGCCTTGAAAGGGCCGACCCGGACCACACCCTCCTCCCCGGCAGCGCTCGCCTCGCCCCGACCCTTTGCGCGCTGCTTGTCCCCCGCTTCCTCGCTCTCTCTGCCCGCTTGGGGACCCCAACTTGGTTTTTCCCCCCCGGGCGCCTTTTCCTGGGGTTGCGCTCCCCGCAGCCTCGCCTGCCTCTCTCCCCCCCCCCCGCCTTGGCCATGCAGAAAGGCTGGAAGAAGTACTTTGGCCAGAAGTCCCTCAGCGAGGTGACCATGGATGAGTACCTGGCCAGCCAGGGGCTCTACCGCAAGCTCACGGCCAAAGACGCCACTTGCCTCTTCCGGGCCATTTCCGAGCAGGTAAAGCCCGAGCTGGCCCGTGGGGACTCCCCTCCACTCCGGCTCTTGGCCCCGAGTAGGGCTGAGCGCTGGCTTTTTTGGGGGGGGGGCAAAGGGGGTGAAAACCGCGCCTCGGTAAGCCGTGGGTACGCGAAACGCGCGCGGGCAGAGACCGAGCCCCCTTCTCTTCTTCCTCCTCCTCCTCCTCGTCAATGTTGGGGTTTTTTTGGGGGGGTTCTCTTTCCAAGCAGGGCAGCGGCCAAGCAGAAGATGCAACCGACTTAGACCCCCCCTTCCCACCGCCGACCTCCTTGGCTTTAAGTGAAAGTGTGGAGTTGTGTTCCTGGTTTGGTAAAAAAGGGTTGGATGGACTTTTCCCTCCTTGAAAGGGTCTACCGGTTGCCTTTTAGAGGGGGAAAGATTATCCCGGGATAAGTTGCAGTCAATGAATTGGTTGACACAGAAGTATATCCTAAGATACGGATTTCAGGTGAAATGGGTCCTGCTGCTCCTTTTATTTTAAACCGGGTCTAACTTATAAGCAACTTTTAAACGAGTTTGGTTCCCTACCGGGGTTTAAACTTCAAACATGGGTTGGGTTTGACTTCCAGCTACCTTCATGTGTAGTCGGTTTACTGATACATAGTGGCTTACCCGGTTGCTGGGGTTAAAATGGGGTTTAGCAATGTGAACTCCATTGCTGTTTAGGTGGGCTGTGTTCCAAGTTGATTGCATAAACGCAGTTCAGGAAATTCAACAAACTTGGCTGTTCTGTAGCTCAGCACTGGCCAGTTTTGCTCGGACTCTGTGGTTAAGCTGGGTTAAGCCTGGTTAGTATTTGACTGGGAACCAGCAGGCGATAGCATAGCTGTAGGTAGACTTTAGGAAATCCAGAACGCAACCTAGAAGTTTCAGTGAAAAATCTCTCTTGTATGGTTGCCCTGAAAAGATCTGTACTGTATTCACCAGGAGTAGAGAACTCGGTTTGCGGGCATTTTTCCACTTTTCTTTTTAGAAAACAGAACCTAGAGTAGTATTTGTTCTGATAGAATTTAAATGCAGAGTAAAAGGTAGAATTTAAATGCAGAGTAAGAGGGTGGAGAGTCTTTGATAGTTTATATAACGCAGCCTTTCTAACTGGAGACACCTGCAGGTAACCAAACCTGTGCTCTTGAGATTCTCAGCAAGTGACCACGCCAGCTGGGGAATTCTGGGAATTTAACACACACACACACACACACA